GCAACTGTATGAAAAAGATAGTCCTTCAAGGGGATGGAACAAGACAGTAAGAAAGGAGGAGGGGAGGTAGCGGAGAAGAACAGCAGAACACTTAACCAATTTGGAATGAGCTTGTCATATTGTTAGCCATTATAGTGAGAGTGCTGGTTTTGAGTGAGAACTTTGCACATAGGGGATTTGAAATTATAGTTATGAAATATGACTTTTCAAATTTTTAGGTGCTTAATCACCATATCCAACGGGTGAATGAGGCAGAGGAGGAGCGTTTGGCCAGCGGAGATGAGCATCGCGCAATTTCTGAACGATTAATGAAGCTGGCCGACCAGATACGCAAGATGGAGAAGGATCAACGGTGGAGAATTGGATTTCACCATAAATTTTGGAAATCGGATGTTTTATCTATGTTCAGATCATCCATTAAAAAATCTCGGACTTACTTTGACCAAAGGCTAGAGTTCACTCGAGTGCTAGAACGTCAAAAGGAGCTGATCTTACGACTTGAGGCTGAGGTAATAATATCATTCCAATACTTTTTTGTTGTATGTTTTTTCCCAGTTTACTGCTGTTCATTTGCTATTGATCATCCTGTCTTTGTTTCTTGCGTCACAAGATTCCTCGACACCGCTGATAACACTATCAATAGTTCGATAAGATGCTATCAGTACTTTTTAGTCCGCTGTGTACAAACTGTAAAATGCCACGCAGTTTGCGAAACCATAGAGTGCCGCCCAATTACACACTGGTTAAGAGGGAAAATCAAATCGTAACATTTTGAGGCGAAAAAAATGAAGAAATGAGGATTATTGTATGGAAATGAGAGTGGCAGTTGATGTTAGTGCATCGTCGCTTCATCACCTTCACTTCGCCAAATAATGGAAGCTGCCAAAATGTGAACCAGGCGCTTTTATGGCCGACTGGCAACTTAAACATATTGACTTTTCCCAGTCTGAGGAATCCGCTTAGATGCGTTTAGAACAATAAAAATAACCTTTTCTCATTTGCCGGAACAGCTAGACGTAATGAAGTTTTCTCAAATATTGATTTTATTTATTTAAACTCATTTGGCGATCCGTTATTTCATGTGCCCGTCCTTCTCCAAGAAACATCGCATACATTTTTTCACTTAAGTCGTGTAAAAAATTTGTTGTAAGTGCAACGTTTTTATTTGGATACGTTCGAGGATTAGCTTACTCTGTCTTTTTTTTTGTCGGACTTTTTTTTAAACGCTATCTCTAAAGTGGCTTATGATTGAGACACGAGGTGTTAAACATCTGATCGGC